TTCGGAGGGGTTGACTGCTCAGGTGCCTGGGATCCCATGATTGCTTCTCACAGTCCTTGGTTCCATCGGATTTCCCCCTTTCCCCAAAGACCACACAGGAACTTCTAACTTCGGACGGTCTGATTCATCTCTGAAGCCAGCTGCTACGTGCTGACACCTGGACCAGTGCTGTGATTTTCACGGACAGTTATTTTTAAAGGGAATTTCACAGGGTGAGATTTGAATGTCTGGAAACTCTATGTAGAAATGACATCTATGTCAACGATATTGCCAAGTAAGTAACTTACAATATTTATTTATTTACTTATTTATTTGCCAAGCACAAATCATTCTTTGGGGAATGTTTAATAAGAATATCTTGAAATTATTTTTTCAAGTGTGTCTGAACGTCTACTCTATTGAATTTATTATGAAAAGTATTTTTTTTTCTTTGAATGGTTGTACATCTCTTTTCTTCCTTCTTTCTTCTTCTCACACTCTCCTTCGCCTGTGCTTTTAGAATGAACTTAATCTAGTGGAGCAGCGTTAAGTTTGCGGTTACAATGGAGGGCGGCACAGAGGTTTCCCAGGAGCCGCTCATCTCACAGGTGCCCACCTCCCCGTTACCGGCCCCCTCCCCGAGGGAGGGCTTTTCGCTGTCTCACTAAGAAGGGGCCTGCGTGGCCACACCACCCCAGTCCTCACTTCATCGCAGGCTTCCCTCCGGGTGCTGCATCCTCTGGGCTGGACGCTCCTCCAGCATTCCGCTCTTCCCAGAGGACAGTTATGCATCTGGTGCTACGTTCCCCACTCTAAAGATGAGGACACCGAGATGCAGAGGGAGCTGGAGGATCTGCCACGTTTATGTAATGACTGAGGGACGGGGCCCCATGCAGACCGGCCCCCCTCCAGGACACGCTCACAATGAGGAGGCGGGGAACCGACCCTGTAGCTTTGCCAACACTCGCCTTGGCGCTCACTACCCTTCCAACACGCTCCCACCGGGCTCGCTTTACCTGGACCCTGTCCACTTCCCAGGGAGCCCCGAATGCAGTCCAGACAGACCATGGTCCATCCTGTTTACCTGGAGGATCCTTCAAGATCAGTTCCAGGATTGTGAACCTCTGAAGGATGACAACATTGACACGGAGTCCCCCCCCCCCCAAAGCCAAGGCGGCACCGCGGCTCTGTGGCATTCCTGTAGTTGACAGTCAACCTAACCCTAACCCTGACCCTAACCCTGACCCTGACCTTGACCCTGACCCTGACCTAACCCTGACCCTGACCCTGACCCTAACCCTGACCTTGACCCTAACCCTGACCCTGATTCTGACCCTAACCCTAACCCTGACCCTTACCCTAACCCTGACCCTGACTCTGACCCTAACTCTGACCCTGACCCTAACCCTGACTGACCTTAACCCTAACCCTGACCCTAACCCTGACCGACCCTGACTCTGACCCTAGCCCTGACCCTGACCGACCCTGACCCTAACCTTAACCCTGACCCTGACCCTAACTCTGACCCTGACCCTAGCCCTTACCCTGACCCTAACCCTGGAGAAGCTGTGAAGCCTTCCACCGCAGGAATCTCCTGAGGAAGAGGCGAAGAGGAAGCAATCCTGGGCACCCCCACCTGGGAGCTGCTGGCAGCCTCCCAGAACTTCCAAGGGAACCGCAGGGAATGCTGCCAGGGATCTCCTGGTGAAGGGTCCTCTGAGAGCCGAGCAGAGCCCAGAGGAGCCGGGCGTAGCCCCAACAAGCCGAGCTAATCGGTTAATCAAGCCTCATTCTCTCACTTCCCTCCTCATGCTCCATCTCCTTAATCCAATCACCCCCACCCGGAGGCTGGGGGATCCATGATCGACCTCATCTGATCCGGTGGTGGCGATGCAGGTGCTTCTCCCAACCAGGCCTGTGATGGGAGCACTCAGAGGCCGGGGGGAGCAGAGCCTCAGCCACAGGCCCCGTCCCTGCAGGGCGAAGGGGACGCCGGGGCCGGCCCTCTCTCTAAACGCCCCTGAGCGAAGCCTCTCCTCCTGCTGAGCGGCCTGGACCACAGCCCGAGGGGCCTGGGAAGCAGCTGCAGGCCAGGCTCACCCTGCCCGCCCGTCTGTCCGCCCATCCGTCAGGCCTGGAGGTGGCACAGGAAGGTGCAGAGACCCTGCCCCTAGCCCGGCCTGCCCCCCGATGGGAAATGCCCCTTCTTCCCGCCCCTCTGTCCTCCCGCCCTCACCCAAGAGCCAAGGAACAAGACACTCGGGACAAGGCCAGGCCGCAGCCAGGAGCCTCCTCCGTGGGGAACCGCAGGAGAGCCTGCTCACCGCAGGTGCCGGCCCTCCGGGGATTAGCGAAGGAACGGACCTGAGCACAGGACGTGGCGGCAGCCGGGGCCCAGGGTCCGGCTGTGACCTCAGGAGAGAGGGCACTGCCTCTGGTCCCGGCGGAGGGAAAGGCAGAGAAATGAGCCTCCTTTCCCCACACAGGGGCCGGGCCTCCGCCCAGCGGTGGTAACAGGCCTCCTGCACCAGCGGCTGGGCAGCCCCTGCCCGGCACCCCCTGCCCGGCGCCCCTGCCCGGCACCCCCGTGCCCGGCACCCCCTGCCCGGTGCCCCCTGCCCAGCACCCCCGTGCCCGGCACCCCCTGCCCGGCACCCCCTGCCCGGCACCCCCCACCCAGAACCCCCCGCCTGGCACCCCCCACCCGGCACCCCTGCCCGGCGCCCCATCAGGAAGGACCGAGGCCTCGCCCTCACGGTGTCCCTGCACCGGAGCCCTCCCAGCAGAACGCCAGTCCTCCTCCCAAACAGCCCCCAGCAGAGGCCGCATTCCCTCCAGGATTTACACTGTCCCTCAGCCACTCCCACCGCCCTGTCTGATGTTCCTCCGAGTATTCTGCCACCACTGGAAATTTAAATATTTGGTTATTGATTTTCCATCCCCTCCAACCACACACACACACACGCAGCATGTGTGAAAGGAACTGTTTCATGTTTTATCAGCCACACTGAGCACGCATTGCTGGTAAATTGTGCTTTAATTCCTGTAGTCAGACATGTGCAGTGAGATACAAGTAAACTTCCATTGTACGTTCAAAAAATAAAACGCCAATTTATACAGGTTTAGCCCAACAGCTTATTCCCTTAGAAAAAAAGTCTTCGTGTAATAAAGCTAAGTTGTCTTCAGTGTAAAAACTTGGAGGTATGAACAAACTCAGGACGGCATACGCGGTGAGTTAATGGACGTTTCCCGCCGCGCACAGTGCAGCATCTCACACAAAGCAAATGGTCTCCTTTCAGCTTTAACGGTTCAGCATAACCCACAGTTCAGTTCTGAATAAAAACATCACAATATAGAAACCCACTGAGAATTCTGTACAGAAATACAAGTTTATAGAAATCTGACTTCAAATATAAATACATAAGTTGTCATGACCTTCCATGTTACAACAGCTTATTTTTCTACCGTAGTCTCTTAAAGTCGTAGAAAAATATTCCAATGCGCGTTCAGCTGCTATGACACGGGCCGTGGCCTGTGCCTCTGAGCCACGCTGTGAAGCGCACAGCGTCGCCCCGGGCGTTTCTGGAATGAACTTTGCTGAGATCCTGAGGCCGGAGGCCACCGCGTAAACACTCCCGCTACAATACGAGCCAAACACAGTCCGGCCTGTGCTCGGAGGCTCCGGGGCGGAGACGTGGCGGCCAGTGCTCGCACAGGGGCCCGGAGCGGGGGAGGGCTAGTGGGCGAGGGCGCTCACCCACCGCAGGGAGACTCGGCGGCCGAGGCTGGCCGTGTGCCCGGCCCCAGTGGAGGAGCCCACCTGCAACAGACCACCCGGCTCCCGCGTCAGCACGAGCGGGGAGCGCCCCGCAGTCTCTGGTCGGACAGAAGACGATCCGTGCCCCCGAGAAACCCCACGCCCCTCACCGCCCGGGCCAACGCAGTGTTCCTGGACATGTACTGACGGGCTGCACCGGACAGCACACGGACTGAAGGGCAAACATCCCGCTCAAACAGCCTGACCTCAGACGTGTTCTTTCCCGTCTTTTCGAGTTTAGCGGGTCCCACTGGGAATGAAACACTGGTCCCTGCGAGGTGTACTTCCCGCATTTAAAACGCAGGCCGTGTGGACAGCAGGTGCGAGAGGCTGCCAGCAGTGAAGGTTCTCTATGGCTTGTAAGCGGCTGGGGCACCATCTGACAACCGCCACCTCTGATGTTCATCTGAACTCCTAGGAGAGCCACGGCCAGCGGGGACCCTCGCCATCTGTCAGGTCAGAGCGCGGGGAGCCATCCGCAGGGCTCTGGGCACTAAGGCTGGGAGGCCTGGGCGTGCGGCTGGGAAAAGGCAAGCAACCCCGCACGCTGAGCGTCCAGAACGGCAGCGCCTCTGGGCGGACAGAGCCCCCGTGTCACTGCAGGGTTAGCAGCAGGCCCCGGCCACCCGCACGGAGGAACAGGGCGATGGCGGAGCGGGCAGACCTGGAGGACCAGCAGGGGAGGAGGGTGGCGTGGTGGGCGGCCCAGCACCCCCACACAGGGCCGTCCCAGGAGGGGGAGTCTGCCCGCAGGATGGTGCCGGGCAGCGATGCGGAAGGAATGGTGCAGGCGTGAAGGGAATGCCACACAGCTGGGTGCCTCCCCTGGACACTCCGTGGCCACTCACATCCGCGGCTGACCTGCCCCGCACTGACCCGTTAGTTAGGGACACTGACCGGGCCCGGTGCCCGGACACGCCATCTTGGCACCGAGAGGGTCTGAGAGAGAAACCCAGGAATCTCTGACCAGAGCCCTTCCCAGTGGACCGGCCGCGGCGATCCCGGTAACACTGCGTGGGATCAGGGACTGATACTGGAGACGGTTCTCCTCTCCCAGGACGGGAGCAGAGCCGGCTCTGCTCGGGGCCGCTCCCCGGGGGCTCGGGGCCGCGGGCACCCCCAGCACGGCCCCGCGTGACAGTCCGATGGGCGTGTGCGTGCGGCCTCGTCTGCCCCGGGCTTCCTCCCACAGCCCGGCCGCGGCTCACACCTCCCCCAGGTCCACAAACTCGTCCTCGCGTGTGGCCAGGTCATCCTCGCCGCCCAGGGCCTTCCAGCCGCTGGTGGGCAGCAGGGGCTTGGCGGAGGGCCGCTGCAGCAGGGCGAAGGGGAACAGCGAGGACAGGCGGGCGCTCCGCGGCAGGCCCGGCGGCCCCGCCCCTGCCTCCACCTCCACCTCCGCCCCCGCCCCCGGCAGCTGCTGGGGCCGCTCGCCCAGCCTCTCCTGCAGGCGCCGCACCTCCTCCATCACCCCCAGGAGGCTGCTGGCCAGGGCGCCCGCGCCCCCGCCCGGGATCTGGGCCTCGGGGATCCAGCGCAGGTAGCGCTGCGCCCAGACGCGCACCTCGGGGCCCTCGACGTGCGGCAGCAGCAGGCCGTGGTAGTCGGGGGCCCTGCTGTGCCAGCTGTCGTAGAACTCTCGGAAGTTGTCCTGCAGCTCATCCGAGTAGTTGATCAGTTTGCTGATTCTCTTGCCCAGAAGGTTTTTAATTAAATGGTCCGTTTCTTCCCTGAAAAACCCTCTTTTGGGCGATGACTTGGACTGGGTGAGCGGCAGAGAAAGCTGTCGCTGGTGCTGAGAGGAAACACAAACAGCCTGGTCAGCCCGCCGCACCGGCCGCTGTTCCCCCAGAAAGAGCCAGCGAGCCGCCAGCCTCAGAACGGCCCCGTCACGCCAGGCCGCGAGAACGCTCCGAGCGCGGCTTCGTGGCCCCTCCACAGAGCCCTGGGCGCGGCGGCCCGTCCTGCGTGGGAACCTGGCCGCCCGAGCTGTGCCACCGAGGGGAGCCGTCCGCCCGCCCCACGGGCACAGGCCGCACAGCACCCGGCACGTGGAAGGGCGGGTTTCCCCTGAGCCGGGGAGCTCTGGGGAGCAAGCGTTCCCCCTGACCCGAGGCCACCTCAGTGGAATGACCGTGGTCTCCAGGCGGCAGGGGAGCTCAGGCTCAAGTCAGCAGACTGTTCTAGACCAGAGGGGGGGGACATGTGAGGACGGACTGACTGGCCAGATGGTCTCCTCTGACAAGCTGCAGGAGGGAAGGTGAGCGGGGTGGGAAGGTGAGTGCGCTCACCTGTTCTCCTGTTCTCCTCCCGGTCCTTCTCCCTGCAGCCCAGCAGGTGCGGGGGGGGGGGGGGGGGGGGGTGGACGGCTCTAGGAAGACGGGGTGTGCCTGGCTTTACCAGTTAGTAACTCAGCTCTCTCGGGGACACGCTTGTCGGGACTTCTCCCCACAGACCCCACAAAGGGAGGCCAATCCCCAGGCCAATCCCCAGCCCCGCTGGTCCCTCTTCCCGCCCCTAAAGGCGGGAGCCTGGCTGCTCCATGTGGCGGTGGCTCCGCCCTCCAGGGGCCTGGGGCCCAGGTGAGCCAGGCCAGGACTCCCAACAGCGGCTGCTGGGCCCTCCGGGGGCCTCCGCCCAGGCCTCAGCCCAGGGTGGCTGTCCCCTCACTCTACCCTCTCCTGCCTGTAAGCCTTAGTGGCCAGCGGTTAGCTTCTGCTTGTGTGCTGCGCCCCCTGGTGGGGCCATGCCCACTTCTGGTGACAGCGGAGCTAGAATCACAGACCTGCCCAGGCCGGTGGGTGAGAGACCTCAGCTGTGGCCTAACCCTGATCTGGTTGGCTGATTGGTTTATTTTATATATGTTATTGATTTTGGAGAGGAAGAGAGGGAGAGAGAGAAACAGCAGTGATGAGAGAATCACTGAGGCTGCCTCCTGCACGCCCCCCACAGGGGACCCACCACTGGTTCCCAGCTCCGCGGATAGTCCAGCCCCGGCGTCCCGCTCATCCCTCCACACCTGCCGGCCAGTGCAGGGCCGGGCAGGGGCCTTACTTTGAGATGCGTGCCTTTCCGCTGGCTTTTGTCCAGTTTGGGCTTTTCCACGTACAGAGGGTTCTGGAGCAAGGTCTGGGCTTCGGGTTCAAACTGTACGGACCAGTCCCACACGGTGAGCAGGTGCAGAGGCGCACTGGGCACATACAGGTCTTCCCTGCCCTGCGAGACAAGCACGGTCAGGCCGCTCCGGGCGGGCAGGGAGAGGCGGGGCGGACGCAGCGGCGGGCATGGGCAGGCTCCTGCTGGGACCAGCACCCACGCGCCTCGCTTCCCAGGCTCCCGCCCTAGGCTGTGGGCTGGGAGAGGAGAGGGCACGTGCCAGTCGCTGTCCTGGCACTTCCACAACCACCTGCGAAGTCCGTTATTTTTCCAATTTTACTTTTGAGGAATCGGAGGCTCAGAAAACTAAGTGCCCGTCTGAGGTCACGAAGTTGGGGCTCAGGACTGTTCCCCACTTCACCGTGGGATCTGGCAAACCCTCCTGGAAGGCAGGGTCGAGGGGAGCCGGGCTCGGGACACGAGGGAGCACGGCCGCGCCGCCCGGCTGCCGGTCTCCATCCCCCGAGGGGCTCCCGCACCGAGGCATGGAGCGGGCAGGAGAGGCCTCGGTCCACCCTGTCGTGAAGGACGGCATTCGCTGTGGTCCACTCCCCGGCTCCAGCCTGTCTCCCGCTCCGTCCTCCTGTCCACGAGGCGAGCGAGGGCTCCTCCGTGCCCCTCGGGGACACAGGGACAGCGCCAGGAGGCACTCAGCGGGCTCCCACTGCCGTGTGCGTCCGCTTCCCCGTTACCACCGGCCTTCCCTTCCCGCGCCTCCTCGCGGGCGCTCCCCGCGGCCCTCGGAGGGACTCACCATGCTGGTCTCCTTCTGGTGGGGCGAGTTGAAGAAGAAGGTGCTGAAGATGGGGATGTACAGGCTGTCGGACAGGACGGTCAGGTACGTCTCCGTGAACTCGAACGCCGGGGGGTGCTGGCGCACCAGCTGCCAGACGCAGTCCAGGAAGAGCAGGAACACGGGGACCTGCGGGAACCAGCCGCGTCACGGAGCTCTGGCCCGGCAGCCCCCGCCGGCCCGAGGAGCCGCCGGAGCACCCTGCAGGCAACGGAAAGCGGGACCGCGCCCGCTGCGGAGCGGCTCAGAGTTCCCTGGGCTCCCCCCTGGGCGCGGCGCCGTCGGACCCCTCTTCTCAGACACGATCACTCTCCCCCCCAGTCCCAGCTCTCTGGCCCGTCGTATTATGTGAGTCCCAGAGCTTTCAATCTAATGTCCCTGAAAGGCAAACCCCACACCAAGAACGAAGGCGGTGATTTCCATCCAGCTCAGGGAGACCCAGCCCCGGCGTGAAAGAAAGGAACTCCAGGCCAGGGAGAGGCCCGCCGGAAACAGACATGCTTGTCATCTGGAGTGAGAAAAACCACGAGGCGTTCGACTAGCATATGGCTGCTCTGCAGGTGATTCAATTCAAGGGAGGACGCGCTTCATTTTTCCTCCCGTGATCGTCAATCACACTGCCACGGGGCCCAGCCCGCTGCAGCGAGACCAGGAGAACCAAACTCTCATGCTGCCGCTCCCGCACTGCCCTGCACTCACAATCCACAGGCCAGAGGCCGGGCCGGTCACTCACAGACACACCACCAGGGCCCGGACAGCAGGTGGCGCTACCGTCACCCTCTGCTTTACTCTGGACAATTTATCATATGTGCAAGGAAAATGGATCCTGTGTCACGCGTTTTCTATAGGAAGCTCACACCCTGAGAATGCATCATTTTGCAAAAAGTAACTTAGCAGAAATGATCTCTTACTGAGCCAACTTTTGTTTAAGTCTGACACATCAGTACTCCCCCGCCATGAAATATCTGCATCCTCGTGCACACCCTTCAGAAGAGAGGTGCTGAGCCCGCTCGCTAACATCACTTCTCTTTCCTCCTCCGGGAAGGGCTTCAGTGTTTAAACCGCCAAAGGCACCACGGCGGCCACCACAGCCTTCCCGCTGAGCGGCCCGCGGCATCCGCCCGGGAGACAGGAAAGAGGGGCCGCGGCCGGACTCGCACCTCCTCCTTGTCGCTCTGCCGCAGGTGGTTGCAGCGATCCAGGAAGCAGTGGCCGCCGGCGACCCACTCCTTCTGCACGAGGCTCTGGAAGCCGGCCCTGGTCCTGCAGTGCGGGTCCATCATCACCTGCACCAGCGAGGAGACGAGGCAGCAGAGGTCGGAAGCGTTCTCCTCTAGGAGCCGGAAGGAGGGAGAGTTAAACCTCCAGAGCACCGCAGCGCACGCCAGAGCAGGTCCCCAGCACCCGGCCCCCACGGACGGCCCGCTCCAACGCCCTCAGGAGCGCGCGAAGAGCTTCGGCAACGGCAAACGGCGGCGTCCAGAGCCAGCGGGGCCTGCACACACGGCACTGAGCACACGGCGCCCGCAGGAGTGAACGCAGCACCGCAGACGGAGCACGTGGGCATCCCGTGTGCCGCCTGAGGGCTGGGTCACACACGCAATGATGACCTGCTGGGCCTGCAGACCACGCTCACCACCCGGGCTGCGTGTCCACGTCTGTCATGGAGCCCACTGTTCCCAGGAGCTGCTCTCGGGCCCTCCTCAGTACTCCTTTCCGCCCGGAGAAAGCGCCCAGGGCTCCACGCCTGTGCGTCTGCGGGTGGAGGGCTGCGCTCCCTGCCTGGCAGGGCAGCTCCTGTGGCGAGTCCCCCACCAGCCCTGAGGGGCACTGCACAAAGCCCACCCCGTGACAACGCCGCACAAACATCTGCGTAGGCTCATGGCCAATAAAACACATCTGCAACTGTGCGTTTGTCTCTCCATAAAGTGAAGAAGTGTCATTCCAGTGGCTATTTTAAAATGTTCCACGAGGACGGTGGTGCTGGCATTGGGGTCAGAGACAGTAAGAAGGCACAGAGCAGGGGGAGCAGTCTGGCCCTGGGACCCCCCCCTCAGACCCGCCTTCACCCCACCTCCTTGCCGCCGTCAGGACTGTTCTGTGGCTGCTGGTTAGGTCTTTTTCAGTAATGTGCTTAGGCCAACTCTCCCAGTTGGCAGTAAGCTCCTAGAAGGCAGAGGCACGGAGCTCAGCACGAAGTAAGTGCTCAGTAAACGTATTAGAATCCAGGCCAGCGAGCCAGCGTCACATGGGGTGGAAGCCACAGGCAGACACTTCTCCCCGCCTGCCCACAGATGCTAACGCTCAGCCGCCATGCAGCGTGTCAGAGAGAGCCGAGGCGACCTTCCCAACGGGCAATATGGGGCTGAGAGAACCCAGTGTTCCCAGCAGCAGGCCGCGCTGGGCTCCAGCCTCACCAGTCCCAGCGGGACGCGTGGCGGCCCCACCCGCTCTCACACACGGGCAGTGCCTGTCTGTCCCACAAACCGCAGGCCGAGCCGCGGACAGGAAACCGTGCACCAGAGCTCCTGGGGCAACTGCACAGGTTGTTGAACAGAAACATAGACAGACAATAATTAAACCTCCCCCGGGTCTTTTTACAAAAGGGATTATCCAAAGATTGTAACTTTAACCGAGATGAGTTACTGTAAAACCGGATCCCAGACGTCAGAAAGCGAGCCTTGTACAGACACGGAACCATTCCCTGCCGGGCTGCGGACAGGCTGCGAGCTCCGGGGAAGGAGCGCGCGTCTCGCTGGGCACGGAAGCGGGCGCCCAGTTCCTTCCGGGCCATGGGCTGTGCCTCAGGAGGGATCTGGAGACCGGCTCATACCTACAAGGAGGACATTGGTGCTCTGCACGTCCAGGCACTCTGCGACCTCGATCGCCTTCTTCAGGCAGCGTCTGCGTGACGAGACAAGAGAAGAGGCGTTCGTTCTGGGCTCGGCATCGAACAGGAAGAGACTGAGGGACAGTCCACGCTGATCTTCAGTTTCCCTCTTACTCACTTTCGCTAAAACCCTCCAAAAAGAAACAGATCCTGCCAGACACTCGTTTGCCTATTAGAAACTTAACCTTTTCAGAAGGGAATCTCAAGACGGATGTAAAAATGCTCCCAGGTGGTTTCTAACTAGAAATCCTCAGTGAGAACTCGGACAGAGACCTGCCAGCCCCGACCGGGTGCTGCATGCCCCCCCGCTTCATTCAAGGTCACAGCCAGGGGTCGGTGTGTGAGACACTCCACCACCCCGAGGTCCTGCATGTCCCCAGATCACTGCTCCCTCCGGGAGTGGCCGAGGCGGGCAGCCTGCCTCTCCCCATCCCAGGGCCCCCGTGGACAGTCCTCTGCCCAGGGCACCGCCCACTCTGCTCCTTCGTCTGCTTGCGGACATCACCCTCCCCGCCGCACAGAAAGAGACCTGTGGACACGTGTCGCTGCTCGCAAGAACGTAGTCCACGTCTGAGACATGCAGCCAGCGCTTCGAAGCGCATCTGTGAGGGAGCATGGGAAGGAGGCTCTCCACAACGTGCGTGGCCCTCTTCCCCCACGCTAAGCCCTGGACCGGAGCAAAGGTGTTCAGTCCACAATCAGCACCCTCCCCGGCCCGCCCCCCCCCCCCCCCCCCCCCGCCACGGGGCCGGCACTGCTGCCGCAGTGGGGCTCTGACTGCCTCGCCTGTCGCTTCTCTCAAGGCCTAGTCCGCAGTGGAGAGCATGACTCCTGGGGAGCGGGGAGCATGTCTGTACGTTCAGACCCAATGTGTCCAGAGAGAATGAACGGCAGTTAGAGAACTATAAAAGTCCCGAGCAAAACAACGGCTTCAGATACCTGATTATGTCGAGCCAGCTGCTGCTTTCCAACAAGGAAAACCACTTGATGTCCGTGTCCCAGAACTCGGCGCTGTTATCTGGGGGAGAGCAGAGAGGTCAGGCGGCGCAATCAGCCTCCACAGCCTCCGCTGCTCCACGCGGCTGTGCCCGGCACCGGCCTCCGTCCCTAGCGGCGCGTCCGGCCTCAGCTAGCACGGCTGAGCTGGGAGCCTGGAGCGTGTGGCAGTTGCACGAGGCACAGTGCCGAGAGGGTGCCACCACACCAGAGCACGCCCGCTGGTGCCAGGAGGGAGCAGCCTGCTCTGGCGGACACGGTGGATTCCTGGGGACGTGCCCTCCTCTTCGCCCTCACCTACGGCCCAGGGAAGGGCCACAGGCCGCTGCTCCTAGAAGCAGGCACATCCTGGTGCCGTGAGGGCCCGGGGAGACCCAGCCTCCACCGGAGCCCTAAGCACACCCCGACGTTCACCTCGAACACCACTGCCCCGGCCAGCCCACCTGCCACAGCCCGCATCCTGCAGGCATCTGCTGCTTCAGGCTGCAAAGTCAACCAAAGGCCGATGCCCACAGGGCCCGGACGGTACACTCTAGAGGACATGCCAGTCCTGCATCGGCTAAGGGCCCAGGCCCAGGCGGCACCGCCCACCTGGCCCGCTGGCTGTCTTCCCTCCTGACAGACGCCTTCCCGGCATGCTCTCACCTATCAGAAACAGCTGCTTGAACTTGGAGTACGCGGTCTGGATGTCCGGCAGGGACAGGAAGTTGCTTGACAGGTCTTCAGTTCTGACCATCTCATAGGGTGGCCTGTGGATGACCCTGTAAACTCTAGGAACCGAAAGTGACGCGTGATCAGAAAGGCAGGCGCGGGCCAGAGGGGCGGCTGCGTCCTGAGCACGGACTCCGGCCGGCCCGGCGTGAGAGCTCGGCAGGTGCCCGCCACGTGATCCTCACCTGGAGCGAGGCAGGCACCCGGCCCCGTGCCAGGCAGTGCGCGGGCTTCCGGCCCACGATGAGGCCGTTTAGATACTGATGGAGCCATGGTTTGGCTACGGCCATTTACCTCCCACGGCTATGCCTTTTCTGCGTTGTTTGGTTTCCAGCTTTACGGAGATATAACTGACACACAGCTCTGTCTGCGGAGTGCAGAGCCTGGCCTACAGCTACTAGGAAATGACCACACGGTAACTAACGTCCATGATCTCACAAACGCTCTTTTTCTCCCCATTTTGTTTTGTATTGGTTTCAGGTGGACAGCTTAGTGGTTAGACAATCACATCCTCTACATAATGTTCCTCTTGATAGTTCCAATATCCACCTGGGACCATACAATGTACTGCAATGTTATTGATTATATTCCCTCCGCTTTACCTACGTCAACGTGACTATTCTGTAACTACCCATTTGTGCTTCTCAATCCATGGACTTGGGGTTTAACTTTTAATTTTGAAAATGTCAAACATGCAGCACAGTGACGGGCAGTGTGACCTCAACCGGACAGCTGTGACCAGCACAGACACCCGCCACTGCCCCCTAGTGCTCAGCGTGCATCATTACAGACGGCCATAGAGGATGCACAGGCGGTGCCATGCTCTCTGAGGCATACAGATACGGAGACACTGCTGGGCACTGTCCCTTCCTCTTGGATAACAAGAACAGAGCTGACAACCACAAAACGCTGATAGACTCACCCGTCCAGGAAGCTCCTGTGGGTCTGCAGAACGGCCTCGTCCTGCTCCTTGGGCAGCGCGGACATTTTCAGAAGGGCGCACCCATTGTGGTAGGACCAGCACCAGATCTGCAGAGGGAAGAGAAGGTTTTCTAAAACCATACCCACAACCAACAGCGAACAGGTAAGCTCAGCCTTTAAATCCAGTCAGAGAAAAATATGTACGTTCAATATGAAATGGCTGGATCTATTCAACTTTGCTCAGTGAAGGAAGAGCTACACAAAAAGGACGGACTGGCTTTGACAACCAGAAGGTCCGGGTGGACACGCGCAGACTGCCGTGGTGACACACGCCGTCCGACGGGCCTGCGCAATGGAGCTGGAGGACGGCGACACCATCGCGTGATTACTGCGGTGTGGCTCCTGCTGGGCCGGCACCTGAGTCAGCGCGCCGAGTCCTCGCCCGGGGGCAGGCATGATTATCATCCCCGTTAACAGGAAGAAACTGAGGCTTGCAGACCAGTAACTTCCAGCAGCCTGCCTGGGAGGGGTGTGCTCTGCAGGAGGGGCAGCTGCTGTCCACAGAGAAAGCTCCCACGAGACAGAACGGCAAGTTGGCCACTGAACGAACGTGGATACGAGGCCTGCATGTGCACGCAGACACTGACTGGGGCTGGAGAGGAAGCACAGGGGCTGAGACACTGGCCGCCAGCACTAGCTCACCCTCCAACGGGACAGGAGTCTACCAACGTAGGTAGGATGCGGCCACCGGGAGAGAACGCCAGGACAACAAAGGGAGGGCGGGCAGGGCGGGGGAGTCCCGCGAGCCGCCAGTGGCAGTCTCCCGCTGTTCTGGACACGCCGCCATTCTCCTGGCTGGTTGGTCTGCTGTTTGCAGGAGCCGAAGCAGATCAGCAGTGCTCGGGGCTCTGACCGGCCAGGAGGGCCTGGGAGGGAGGCAGGCGAGGCAGCTGGGGCCACTGAGTCCCTGCCTGGGCTTGGTGCCTGGTACACAGCCTGGCTCAGGGTTCGAAGTGGCTACAGCTCCGCTGCCCGGCATCGGGCCCGGGGCTCACAGGCAGGCCGGAGGGTTCCAGCTGCCACTCCTCCGCGGCCTCCAGCCTGACCGGTGACGGGCTCTAAGGAACCGAGTGCCTTTCGTCCTTTTCCTCCCTTCCCGTCACTCGTTTTCTGCTGCGGCACAACCACCCCGGTGCACGGGCCAATGCTCACACAGCTGAGACCCCGGCCTGCGCCAGGTGTAGTCTTCAATGCGGCAAACATCGGTGCGCGCAGCCACAGAAACCAAGACTCTTTTGAGATCCTCAATAATTCTTAAGAGTGAAAAAGTCTAGAGACAAGGAAGTTTGAGAATGGCTGCTCTAAATGTAAGGTTGCAAACAGGTGGACATGATCCAACTGGGGCCCAAAGACAAGTCGTTTACACCTTCGACTCAGACGCACGCACTTAGAAATGAGGAGACGCACAGAAATCCGCCTGTGCCTCCTCCTGAGGCGTCCGAGCACTGGCCACGCCAGGCGTGTTCCCGGCACCGGCCGCTGTCAGGCCACACTCATGGTGCCGGCGCAGGCACCTCGGGGCAGGCCCCCGGCTCCACACACCCTCCCGCCCAGAGCGAGGGCTTCCTCTCCTCACAGGAAAGAGCACTGTGTGCAGTCCTCATTCCTCACTGAATTCCTCATCGGCCACACCCTGCCGCCCACTAGAAACTGGCGTCCCTGCCAGAGCCCTGCCTTTGCTCAGGGAGACGTTACCTGTGGCTCCCAGCCCAGTCTGTGCGCACTGGGCAAGCTCTATGTTGTCTCTTGAGAAGAGACACCCCATAAGGTGAGTGGGGGAGCCCAGGAGGGTCGGCCCCGCCTCAGGTGACTTGGTGTCGCATCAGGCCGGCCTTCGTGGCGCTTCGTCCACAGCCCTGAGCTCCCGAAGTGTCTGCTGAGCTCGCCGTGCCGCCCGCCCCGGCAGCCTCAGGCCGACACCCCTAGGGAGCCGCCTCGCTCTTCCCGGCTCACTCAGGGCTGCAGACAGACGCTGGCACTAAAGCCGAGGCGCCACAGGACGTGCCGAGCGGAGCGATGAGCAGCCCGCGGCCGGGCCGTGCACTCACCGGGACGCCGTGGCCCTGGAAGCGCGACACACTGTCTTCGGGCAGCGGCGCGGGGACGACGAAGTAGGCGGGCAGCCTGCGGAGAGAGGCGCGTTAGTGTGGGCTCGTCCCCGCGCTGACAGCTCAGCTCCGTGAGCTCCGGAGGCCGGGCTGGGAGGAAGGGGTCCATCCCCTGTGCAGACCCAGCGCAGGTGAGCTCCCTCCAGCCAGGAACCTAGGTCACAGCCGCGCTCTGCCGAGCCTGTCACCGCCTTCTGGGCCAGGCTCACCCAGAATGAGGGGCTGGATTGGTGATCACAGTGCACAAATGCCGGCACTGGAGTGATCTTTGCCATCACGTTCTGACAACACAGGCCATTGTGTTGCTCTCTGTCAGATTACTAGGAAAGCAGTAATCAGGGCGACTCCTGCCCATTTTACCAGGGATCTCACAACACTCAGTGTTACTGGACGCAGACTCTGTTCCTGTCCCCTCCATGGATTTACTTCATCTTCCCAAGAGCACGCGGAGGCCTGCACTGCGGTCACTCCTTTCGGCAGATGAAGAGCGGAGAAGCACAGCTAAGGCCTCCCAGGCTCCACCGAAGTGAGCATCAGTGGAGGACCTGGCCCAGCACTGCGACCGCAGGTTCCCAGGGACAGTCTACAATGACCCCTGCTGCACGGGACGTAGGGAAGAGGGTCCGAGGGGCAAAGCACAGAGCTCCGTGGGCTGCAGGCCTCCATCAGCAGGACAGCTTCTTCCAGGGAGCCGCCCACAGCGCTGGCCCTCGGGCTGTCTGTGTGGCTGGGAGCTCTTTCACTCAGAGAGCTTGAGAGAAAGCCTCCCGGGGCAGGGACCCAGGGCGACACCCCAGAGCAGCAATGTCGCCCTGGGCTGTCTGTCCGCAGGCCCTGCTCCACGAGGCCTGCCGCCACCTTCCGGGCGGGGAGAGAAGGCTCTGGGGGGAGCAGCAGGCTGTGGTGCTGGGCAGCCCGCTCTGACGGTGGGGAGGTGGTGGGGGAGGTGATGAGAACCGAGTCCCTCCCACCACCGGGGCGGCATGGGCACGCGGACAGGGCGGCATGAGTCACATCCTGGGTGCGACGCGGGTGAACAGCATGCAGTTCCTTCATGCTGCTCAGAACAGCACCCGACTTCACCCTTATGAACTGTTTATTTCTGGGATTTGCCGTGTAATATTTTGACCTGCAGTTGACCACAGGTAACTAAAACCGTGGAAAGCAAAACTGTGGGTAGGGGCTGTTCCAAGCACATAGGTGAATGTACCAAGTTGATGCAGCTGTCAGCAGAGTGCTGGACGCTACGTTCCAAAATGATAAGATTCCAGGGCCTCAGAAAGAACATGCAGAGTCATCCTTAAATGTAGGTCAGAGCACATCCCGCCTCTGCTCAGACTCCTCCCTGAGCTACCGAGCCCTCTGAAGCCTCCCTCCCGGCAGTCACCTCCAGCCACTCCCTCCTCCCACCCTCTCCTCCCACTCCTCGGGCCCTGCTCACCCCTCTCCAGCCCAGGCCTCGCTGCTCCTCACCCGCCCTGCTCCCCTTCCCCCTCGCACGCACTGCCTTTCTGCCCCTGCAGATGCCCCCCCCTCCATCCCCCCTCCTCCTGCAATGACAGCTCACTGCTGTGTCCTTAGTGACCAGGACACGCCTGGCACAGAGGAGGACTAAGAGCTTTCATGGAATGAATAAATAAATTGAAATGCTTGATAAGAGGAAAGCAAATACACAATATAAATTTAGAGATGCCTCAAAAATATTTATGCTTCGATTACAGATACAATAATGGGGGGAAAGACACAAATTTGCGTTGGGATGTTTTAAGGGACACCTCACGGGTACTAGTGTGGAGAAGGGGGAACTGGATGGGAATGTAAACGGAGCAGCTGCTGTGGAAAACAGCGGCACTTCCTCAAAAAGGTAAACTCCTGGCCTAGCAACTCCTCTCCCAGGACCCCCCAGAGAACCGGAAATTACACCCACACACACCTGGCCTCACTGTCCACTCAGCGTTCCCATAAAGCCGAAGAGTGGAAACTACTCACATGCCCACCCACCAACGGTGGGTAAATAAAAGGTGGTTTACACATCCATTCTGTGAAACACTATTCAGCAACAAAAAAGCATGGCCTTCTAATACCTGCTACCACAGGGATGAGCCGAGTGAAAGCGGCCAGGCACACAGGCCACGTGTCACATGATCCCATCATATGGAATGTCAGAGCAGGCCAGCCTGCAGAGACAGCCAGTGGGTGAGTGGCTGCCGGGGCTGGAGGTGTGGTGGGAGGTGGGGGACTCCCAATGAGGCCGAGGAAAACTGGCTGGAGTCATGGATGCACAGGGTGTGAGTATACTGAAAACACCGTATGTTTCCAACAGGCGAACTGTGTGGCATGTGGATTAAATCTCAACAAGCTGTTTCCCAGAAGCAGGCGCCGGATGCTTACCTCTCGCAGACTCTGTAGCCTTCGTTGACGCTCACTGCTTTGTACTTCATGTTGCCTCTGGTCCGCTCCAGCTCCCCACGCCAGTCCTCCAGCGTGTCAAACATCACGGTGTGCTTCTGGGGACTGGCGGCTAACGAAACCAATGTGAAAGACAACACGCTCTCAGCAGGGAGCACAGTATGCTAATGATGTGAAAGTGACCCTCAGGCCCAATTCCCCTCCTGCCCATTCTCATCCAAGCAGAATGAGCCACTGCTTCATCCCGACCTCGCCCCCAACTGGGGATCAAACCTGCAACCCAGGCATGTGCTCTGACCGGAAACCGGACTGGCAACCCTTCAGTGCATGGGCCAACCCACGGAGCCTCCAGCGGGTGAGGCTCTGTCTTTTCATACTGGAACAAAGGACTCGCTCTCAGTCCTTCTCTTGCAAAAGTCATTACAGCTCCATTTTCAGTCACCTGACCGTGAGGTGATTTATATGACAGAAGATCCTGAGAGGCACTAAGAGACGGGCGCAGCACAAACGCTAAACAGTGTCTTTAGCCCTACCATTATTGCCCAGGATGCAAACTCATCTGAAAGCAGGCCAGACTCCTAGGTGTAAATCCTCCTTCACTCTGCAGACACCTCGCTCCTGAGGCCACAAACAACGCAGAGCTCCCAGTGCTGACACCTCTGCCCCTGCCCTGCCCTGCCCGGTGACCACCTGCGGGAGGGCATGCCCAGGAGACTGCTTCTGTAGCTCAGCCCCTGGCCCTGGCCCTGCCCAGGCCACAGCACTGCTGGCTGGGGTGACATGCACAACAGTTTGGGGTATTTACACAAATCCGTTAGTTAAGCCTTTACACATCTTAAAAAAAAACAAGCATTCTGGGGGAAGTGAAATGTTTGATAAAACTCCCCCCTGCTCTTTTTAATAAAATCTGATCATTGTACTAAGGATGATAACAAGAAAAATGATTTTAAAAACACAGCAGTTAAGTACATAGCACTTGTATGTGCTAGACACTGTTCTGAGCATACTACATGAATGAGCTAAATCCTAATAACCCTACGAGTTAGGTGACGTTATTTCTCCCAGTTTACAGATGCAGCACAGGAAGGTCAAATAACTTTCCCAAGTCACAGAGCTAGCCATGGCAGAACTGTAACTGAAACCTAGGCAAATATTTTTAAAAGTCCATAAAAGAATAAATGCAGAAAAATTTCCCCATGGACATAAATAATAACACTCCATTCAAGCATAACAGATCATTTTCTCCACAATACAGATAGGTCCTCCCCCAAAACGCCATCATAGGAATTAGGAGGGACCTTCCAGCCAAGCACTTCTGATGAATTATTCAGCCTGAGAATAGTTACCGGTGTTCAAATTGCAAAGCAGCCAGCTCTCCACCCCCCCTACTCAGCAAAAAGACTACCTGGTCAAGTCACAATGATCTGTTATAATCTTTACTTATCAAAAGTTTGGGGTTATGAGGAGAAAAGAAGCTGGAATTAAAATAGAGTAAAAGATGCTTCGTACCCTGGGCCTCTGGCACAACCAGTCACCACAAGATAAGGGAACTGCCAGGGGCATAGGCACACAACTGGCACATGCTCGCCAGCTGAAAAGCTGTCCTGTGCTACGTCCAGACCAAGAGTCAGGTATAAGGAGGAAGCAAAATCCCTAAAAACAGTGGAGGGTTTTTCACTTGGAAACCCAATGCAGGTTTATTTAAATCACAGTAATCAGCAATACCTTGTATTGCAACTAGCAGGTGTAAGCTAGCACATACATCTAAAGTGAATGGATGGCCCCAGCTGGTGTGGCTCAGTGGATAGGGTTCAATTTCTGACCAGGGCACATGTCCAGGTTGGGGGCTCCATCCCCAGTAGGGGGTGCACATGAGACAGCCATTCAATGATTCTCTTTCATCACTGATGTTTCTCTGGCTCTCTCCCTTCCTCTCCAAAATCAATTTTTAAAATATTTTTTTTAAAAGTGAAAAGATGAACTTATTTAATGAAGAAACAAATTTTATGTTCAGCTTAATAGTCATGCTAACTACATTTTATGTCATCGTAGTTCTCTCAACATAACCCGTCCTGTGTAATATGCAGTTAGACTCTAATTTAATCACCGTGCCCTCTGTGTCGCACTTTTTTTTAAAATATATTTTACTGATTTTTTACAGAGAAGAAGGGAGAGTGACAGAGAGTTAGAAACGTCGATGAGAGAGAAACATCAATCAGCTGCCTCCTGCACACCCCCCACTGGGGATGTGCTCGCAACCAAGGTACATGCCCTTGACCGGAATCGAACCTGGGACCTTTCAGTCTGCAGGCCGACGCCCTATCCACTGAGCCACACCGGTTTCGGTGTGTGGCACATTTAATAATTTATAATCTTCACAACACTTCAAAGGAAGCATTAACACTATTGGTTTTTAAAATGAGAAAACAGAGGCCCCAGGCCCCACAGCTACTAAGCAGCTGAGCAAGGGTGTGAACTGGAACGGGATAGACCCCGAGAGCCATACCTTTCTACTACCTCACCGAGTTCCCTAAACGCCACCGCTCCCAGCCGCCGCCAGCTCTGCCTGGCCCCCCTGGGCCCCCGCACCTTCCCACGTGCTGCCTGTCAGCTCAGCGCAGCCTGCGCCTCCCAGGCGGCCGGGCGGCCTCCTGCTCCTCAGCCCTTCCAACGGAGCCCACACCTCAGCTGCTCCGAGCGGTGCTCGGGGCGGGGGCTCAGTCCTGTTCACCCCAGCCCCACGCCTGGCCCTCCGCAAGCAGTGCACAGTGCTGGCTGGACAGCAGCAAGCGGCAAGCACTCCGCCTTCCAGAAAGCCTGATCCGGCGCTAACTGACATGCCACTCCCCTCACGGAGCACACAGCCCGGGGCACCAAACCTCCATTTCCCGGTAGGAGCAATGGGCAGAGCGAGAGGACCGGCAGAGGGAGAGCCCAGAGCGGGCGGGCAGGCACTGGGACTCTCGGCTCAGATGGCCAAGCTTTCTTGGTTAAGCGGCCACGCTCTGTCCCAGAGAGCTGAGCGGAAAAGGTGTGGACTCTCATGTGTCCTAACCGCTGGTTTTCTGAGGTGTCCTTCAAAGAATGCCAACTGCACACCTCTGAGTACTCCACCCAGATTCCCGACTTATCTCCCAACACCTCAGTGAGGTAGATACTATCATCATCTCCACTTTACAGATGATTGAAGTGGACACAGAAAAGGTAAGTAATTTGCTCAAGACCACGCAGCCTGCAGCGGGCGGACTTGGCATTCAAACCCAGGCAGGCGTTCTGGCGCCGGTGTCCACACCGCCTCTCAGGCTATTCCATGGACCTCTGGTTGTCGCCTGATGTGTCCTTCTATGTACAGCTGCCCCACTCTCCCCTAGGCATCTGCTATCAAGCATGTTCTGGTTGTTTTAAAAACTTTCAGGCTCTGGCTAGTGTGGCTCAGTTGGTGTGCCTACCAGACAGTCCACATCGACCAAAAGGTGGTGGGTTCGGTTCCCAGGCACAGTGTATACTCAGATTGCAAATTCAATTCCTGGTTGGGGCACTTTTAGGAGGCAACCAATCAATGTTTCTTTCTCTTTCTCTCTTCCTCTCTAAAGTCAACAAAGACATATCCACAGGTAAGGATTAAAAAATATAAACATTAAAAAAAAACTTTCTGGAATGTAAAGTATCCTCTAGTCTTATGAAATGAAACCAAGTATATTAAAGTGGAAAAAAGAATCCAGGCACAAACAGGACAATTTTAAAGTTGTCTCAATTTTCAACTTTTTTTCTCTGTAGTCTCACATCCGCCGTTATAATATATTGATTTTATCTTTCATAAGAAATAATCAAACCAATAAGCCTCACAAAAAGACAACAAACCTAAAAGATGAATTAAAGCAACAAAGATCACGGGGACACACACACACACACACACACACACACAAAAGAAACTTTTTTCATTTAAAGAATCCTGCACGTGTCATTTCAGCAAAGGTGACAATTGCTAGAGCAGAGGAGAAATGCCCATGAAGGGGTTTGCTCCCACGGGTTTCAGGAGGAAACCGGAAGCTCCGCCCCCTACAAACTACAGCCCACAAGACACTCACGTGTGTTGTTGTGCGCAGCGGCTGCATAGGAGAAGAGGAACAATCGCTTCAGCCGCTTAGGAGACTGGGTGTGATGGATGATGCCACTGACAATCTGGAAAAGAAGCAAGCAATGGAGCCGTCATGTCTTTGGCAGAAAGCAGAGTTATCCAAGTCTTCAGTCCTGCTAAGAGGCGCCTCAGGCAGCATGAGACAATGTGCTGAGATCTGCTGCCAGGATGCTATCCTATCTAATAAGGGGGGAATATGCTATTTGACTGTCACACCCTCACAAGATGGCAGTGCCCACAGCCAATAAAGCAGGAATATGCTAATTGACTACCACACCCTCACAAGATGGAGGTGCCCACAGCAACAAGATGGCTGTGCCCAGTCCCCTCAGCCCTGCCTCATCCAGCCAGAGACCCCTACTCCTCTCAGCCCCACAGGAGAAGGTAGTTGGGGATGATCGGACCTGCAGGGGAGGGCAGCTGGGGACCATCATGCTGGCAGGGGAATAGTTAGGCCTCAATCTGGCCAGCAGGGGAGCAGTTAGGAGGCAATCAGGCAAGCAGGCGATAGTGGTTAGGAGCCAGCAGTCCCGGGATCAGGCCTAAACCAGTAGCTGAACATCCCCCAATGGGTCCCAGATTGGAGAGGATGCAGGCTGGGCTGAGGGACACCCCCCCCCTCCAGTGCACAAATTTCATGCACTGGGCCTCTAGGCTCTTATAATAACACCCAACAAACAAAGGCTAGCCATTCTTTTAGGTTTTCTAAGAGCTTTGAATTTCTAGGGAAATTTTTTAAGCACAGTCAAATTTCTCAAAAACTAAGTGCTAAAAAACCTCAAGGGCTATATTTAGATACTCTAAAAATATGACATTAACAACATACGGCTGATATCAGATAATAACCAACACATGGAGTTATCCTGGCCCATTTCTGGCCTTTAGGACTTCCTTCTAGAAGATCAGAAGAAGTCATTAATCAATTGTGCTTTTTTGTTCGAGGTTCTCAGCCAAAGCAAGATTGGGTAGGTGACTAAACCATCGTTCAGAGCGAGTTTCAGCTTCTCAGGGAACTTTCCGTGTCTACACCCCTCTCCAGCTTGGAGATCCTGGGCCCTGTTCTCTAGTCTGACCGAGAGAACATCAGGACTTGCCTGTCAGTGTGTGTAACTCAGGGCCAGAGACAAAGATGAACGGGGTCTGTGCCCGTGGTCAGGAGGAAGTCTGACCTTCAGTATCTCAGAGAGAGAGCTCAGGAGCCACAGTGACCACTGTGACCGGTTGACGGTTTTTGCTGTGGTAACTAGATGGAGTCCTCTACAGTGTCCCCAAACACAGGGTCACCCGTGACCCGGCTGTGCTCCTCTGACCTGTGGCCTCCTCCTCCTTCCCAGACAGACCCCATCTACCCAGGAGCTGGGGTCCCTGCTCCTGCCCCAGAAGGCTGTCGGGGGCCAGGAAGAGGGCTGCTTTAGCGGTTCCCTTCCCCTGACTGCTTCCTGACCCCTGCAGTGGCTCAGGAATAAAAACACTGTGGACTAAAAGTGGCACTTGCCAGGATAGGACATGGGCTTTACCAAACGTCTCTCAGTTCTGACCAAAGCCGATGGGTCACAACCAAGCCCAGCTGTGCGGAGCAAAAGGCGCCCCTCAAGCTTCGTGCAATGTAAGCAAACAGAGCGGGGACCTGGGGGAAGAGCCTGGAGCAGGCAGCTAGTTACCCTTTTGGCTTCCTCTTCCTTTGTGTACCTCAGACAGAAGTGGAATACCCGCAGGTCTTTGCAGTGGATGATGAGCTTCTCGGGGTATTTCTTCAGTTGTCCAAAGAGGGTTTTCTTTTTCTCATCAAACACTGCACATGTGGTAAGTCAGAAGGGAAACGATGTTATAAGGCACCAAGCTAAAAAAACAATGCCAGTTTCTTTCTCTCTCTCTCTCTCTCTCTTCCACTCCCACCCTCCATTCTCTAAAAAAAAAAAAAAAAAAAAAGAAAGAAAGAAAGAAAGAAAGAAAGAAAGAAAGAAAGAAAGAAAGAAACAATGCCGTGGCAGCCAGCAGGGCCCCCCAGCACCCCGCTCTGAGACGCTCAGGCCCCTCACTCCCTGGAGGGGCACCAGACCAGGGAGAGGGGCCTCCCCCGACAGGAGAGAACCCTGCTCCGAAAGCTGAGATTACAGACAACGGACGGTGGCCCAGAAACATAGCTTCAGGGCAGTCAACTCCTGGTCTGTGGCCGGGGCCCTCTGCCACCTCCCTCCCTGGCCCCCAGTTTGACCGTGCAGCCCCTACTGGTGTCAGAAGCATCTCAAATGGCTGCTGCGTGGTTTCTGGAAAAGCCCTTCTCACAGGACAGAGGGGAGCCGAGAGGCTTGACAGCCACACGCAGGACACGGCCCCTCCCCAGATCCCCTACAGTAACACCCACGCTAACGGCGACAGCCAACTCCTCCACAGCGGCTCTGTGGGCACTGGAAAGATCGGGATCTAAGGTCAAGTCCGAGCTCCTCCAGCTAAGTGACCCCAAACAATCACTTCCTATCTCAATTTTATCAACCACAGCACTGATTTAATAAGCTAAACCTGTGGGGAAATTTTAGTAAACTACAGAAAACCATAGAAACATCATCAGCTACACTTTCAGAAGCCGGCACCCCTTCCCCCTCCAGCTCGGGGAAGAGAGATCCTTACCTCCATAAATCTGATCCACACAGTGCAGAGTGATGTCATTTTCTCCTACGACCTTATTCTTAAACTGGGTTTCCTAAAGGATTCAAAAGGAACAACTGTGACTCCTTTCCGTGCACTGCCAGACATTAGCATGGGCAGCTGGCTGTCCTGCAGGTGCATGTTAAGCAGCACAGGAAGTGCGGCCACATGCCTGGGAGGGGACAGGAAAACGTGTGAGAAGAGCTGGATCTGGTGTCAGACCCAGGCCGAGCAGGCCGCTCCTGGGCCAATCCTGGCCAGCACACAGGAGGCCGGGAGGGGTTACGATCGGTCACACCAGCCGGTGAGAGCTGCACAGGACGAACATGTAAGTGCTCTCACAGGCTGGGAGCCAGCGCCCGCGGACGCACGGACCGCCCTGCGATGGCCACGGAGCTGCTGCTTCGCAGAGGGTGGCGGCCGGCGTGGCCAGCCTCTCACTGCGCTGCCCGTCCCACCCCCCTCGGTGCAGGGCACACCCGACCCCGTGCTGCCGGGCATGTTCCTAAGTGAGCTCGTCCCCGGACTAAGGAGAGCTCAGTGCGGAGAACACGGGGCCGCGTATCTGAGGACCCGGGTTCAGGGAGCAGACACTGCGGTGAGAGACTGAGGGAAAGCGCCGGCCTCCGATCAAACCCAGCCCCCCCCCCCCAACCTGAAGGACAGGGGCAGAGGGGGCGACCCTGTCCCTGTGCTGTACGGGCTGGGGAGCGGGGCTGGGAGGGGGCGCAGACATCGGACGTACATCGCTCTCCAGCGCAGGCTCGTCGTCGCCCAGGAAGGCGATCTTGAAGTCCGTGCAGACCAGCTTCCCGCAGACGCCCCGCTGGCAGGAGCCCTCCTGGACGCACTTGAGCACCGTGCTGGCCTCGCAGAGCAGCTGCTCCCCTGGACACAGAGCACGCCCTTAGCCCCGGCACCCGCTCCCGCAGCCAGCCTCCCGCCTGCCCCCCGAGGCCGCACCGCGCCGCGGCCCTCACGGCGGCCCTCACCGCAGCCCTCACCGCAGCCCTCACCTCGGCCCTCACCACGGCCCTCACCGCGGCCCTCCACGCGGCCCTCACCGCGGCCCTCACCGCAGCCCTCAGGCCTCCCCGCCACAGCTGCTCCAACGGGAGCAGAGCCTCAGACTCCCCTCCACCCCGGGCCTCTGTCCTCACTGTGCATCCCGGACGTTTCCTGGGGGAGGGGAGGGTGACAGCTACATCGCAGCTAAGGCCTGAGCAGAGGTTCCAGGAGCGACAGGAGGCAGCAAGGCCTGCCCTGCTCCACTCCGACCCAGCCTCCAGCCTCCCAGCCTCCCAGCCTCCCAGCCTCCGGCCACGGGAGCTGGGACGGGGCGGCGTCTCCCTGGCCGCAGGGCTGGCCGGCAGCTTCCTGGGCTGCAGCGGCCCACAGCATCCTGGTCCCGCCGTCCCCGCCGTCCGGGATGGGAGGAAGGGGAGGTCAGAGGTCTGTGGGAAAGAACGGTTTCCTCTCTTTCTTCGCCGAGAGCCTTTCCTCCCAGTGTGTCACCTTCCTCTCTCCCAGGCCCGCCCGCGGGAAAGCTGCCCTTCCTGAGCCAGCGCCGAACTCCTGCCGGTCAGAGGTGAGGGTGCAGGTACAGCCTGCTCCCACAGAAGCCCATCGGGGCGGGGGGCCGGCTGAGGCAGGAGAAGAGAAGGTTAGGGGGAAGTGAAGTGTAGACACTTTGCAACAAAAAGGAGAAGGAAATTCTCCTCCCAATCAGTAACCCCAGAATCTGCTCTGGCTGCTTCCTCCAGGGCCCTGTCTGGCTCGGATTCATTCAGCCTGACCTCCAGCCTGTGAACGGAAAGTTACATCACCGGGCGGTCAGGGACACACCGGGATGGCTCTGCCTTCCAGGGGCTAGCTGCTAAGAGACGGGAAGATGGCTCAGTCAGGTCCCTCCAGCCAGGCCGCAGAGCCTGAAGCAAGCAATGCGGTCTGGGCTCTCAGAGTTCAAACAGTCCCAGAAAAGGTGCCTCCTAAGTCCCGGTGGAAGACCTGTGAGCAAGGCTCCTGAGCTTCCGGCTCCTGGGGTGGGCCTCCCCAGACCAGGGCTGCAGCCTGCGCCATGCACTGGACACGGTGAGGCTGTGCAAGCGTATCAGCCTGTGTGCGCAGAGGATCCGGGTCGTGGGAGCTGACAGGCTCTCAGTCTATCTCAGAAACGGGGGAGCCAGCGGGAGCTCACACTGCACACCCATAAGAGACCAGCAGTAACCAGGGGGTGGGAGAATGCATGTAACACCCAGCTTCAAACAAAGTATTTCTCTGAACCTCCAGTCCAAGAAAAGGAAATACAATAGGGTATATGGACTAAGATTTAGGCCATCATTATGGGGGAAAGCCTTTGAAACTTATAGCATTTTTTTTTAAAGTTATAAAATTCCAACGTATTTACCAAATAAGGTGGATCAGCCAGAAACCTGTGCATACTCACATACTCCCCCAAAAATGGAAATAATAAAAAGCACCAGAATAGCCCCTATTGTTTTGGAAAAACGCACCTTTAAACACTTATGTTAAAAAGCTATTTGAGCCGAAACCGGTTCAGCTCAGTGGTAGAGCGTCGGCCTGCGGACTGAAAGGTCCCGGGTTCGATTCCGGTCAAAGGCATGTATCTTGGTTGCGGGCACATCCCCAGTGGGGGGCATGCAAGAGGCAGCTGATTGATGATTCTCTCTCATCAATGTTTCTAACTCTCTATCCCTCTCTGTAAAAAAATCAATAAAATATATTTAAAAAAATAAATAAATAAAAATAAAATTTTTTAAAAAATAAAAAATAAAAAGCTATTTGAGGTTAGAAAAAACAAAGCGTAAGAACTGAATGCACTGGACAGCCCCATGTCTGAAGAGGACACACCATCAAGTAGTTTCCAGTTCTGTATTCAGAACTGACAAAAGCTTGATTCAAGTCACAGAGCCACTTTCCCTATCTCAACAACACCCACCAGCCTGGCAATATTGCTCAGTGGTTGGAGCACTGACCATCCTCAGTTTGGTCGGGGCACATGCAGGAGGCAACCCATCAATGTGTCTCTCTCTCACCAATTTTTCTCTCTGTGTCTCTCCCCCTCCCTTCCACTCTCTGAAAATCAATGGACAAAATATCCTTGGTGAGGATTAGCCACAACAAAAAATACCCACCAACCCACGCTCCTTGGTGATGACCACAGAGCCAAGTCCTGGTAGCCGTGGTGGCAGGGGATGGCGTTGGTGAGCCAGCACACCTGGCACTGGTGCTCAGATGACCAAGCAGAGATGACAGGTGAGGCCACTCACCAACGCCTGCCTGGGGAAGCCCCAGCAGCTGCTTAGGTAAGGGCCGCTGCGCTAGGAGGGCAGCTGTGCCAGGTGAGGGCAGCTGTGCCAGGTAAGGGCGGCTACAGTCAGGCAGCAGGCAGAGTGTGGGCAGCAGGGCTTTGTGGGGAACCTGACTGAGGACCAGAAACTGGACAGGCCCAGTGAGGCGACCTGACAGAGATGAGGACGTCCAGGTTTACTTTCATCTGGGGGGGGGTGGCGATCTTCACACCGTTGTAGCCCTCGCAGCCAATGTGTAAGCACTGAGCTAAAAACCTGGTATTCTGTCCAGCTCACGGCCGTTACATTTTGTGTGATGGAAACAAAGGCACACACAGTGACAGAGGAATGACATGATGGTCACTGGCTTTGAGCTGTACATGATGCTGACATGACTGTTACCTGGCAACAAGTGAAGCGTGACTTCCTTCTCTGCTGTTTCCTTTTCGTTTGTGTGAATTTCCTAAAAGACAAGAGCAAAGGGTAATATTTTATTTGTTTAGGGCTCAAAATGAGTAACTTAAAGCCATGCTTTCGGAATATTCATGAAAATATGCCTGCAGGAGTTTTTTGTTTATTTGACAAGCTAATTACTTTTTTTAAGAATATTTTATAACTAGCCAAAGCTGGTATGGCTCAGTGGTAGAGCGTCGGTTTGCGGACTGAAAGGTCCCAGGTTCGATTCCGGTCAGGGGCATGTACATTGGTTGCGGGCACATCCCCAGTAGGGGGTGTGCAAGAGGCAGCTGGTCGATGTTTCTCTCTCATCGACGTTTCTAGCTCTCTATCTCTCTCCCTTTCTCCTCTCCGTGAAATATCAATAAAATATCTTTTTTTTAAAAAGAATATTTTATAACTAAAGGATAACAGAAAATTCCAACAGATTAGTTCAATGCACTAAGATAATTATTTAGGGCTGACAACTATTCGCCGCCCTAGCGGAGTGGAGGGGCGGGAGGGGTACTCCTTGGCTAGGATAAGGCCCCACAGAAAGAAGGCAGCCGCGGCAGAGAGGGCGGAGGCAGCCCACAGAACGGCCCCCTCCAGGGAGAAGCAGGGTGACAGGCAAACCACCGCTGTCCTAGAGCTTAACGGGAAGAACAGGAAAACATGAACGTATGGAGTCAATACTCTGATCGTAAAAAATAAAACAGTGAAAAACCAAAGAAGCCAATGTCATGCAGCCGCTCTGTGGCACCAGGACCAGCAGAGACAGCTGGTATGCCAGTGCCCCTTTTGATTACCCACGCCCCCAGGACAGTGCCAATGGGTTAAGGAATTAAGGCCGGGCTCTGTGTCGCTGTTTCTCAATGAAAATGTCTTCAAATGCCTCCCTGGTGGGCTCAGTGTTTATTGAAAATTCCAAGACAGGCAGCAATCCTCCATGAATTAATGGCCAAAGCAACAGTCCTGCATGCTGTCAGCCTCACAACAGAGGCCTGGGGGACTCCGAATGCACCCTCCACTCAGCCAGGAAGCAGTCCTGCCCAACAGCCCATCTGTCTGCGGGAGCATCTCTGCTAACCACCCGCTCACAAGCAGCACCGGGCAGAGAGACGTGTTCAACGACAGCACGCAGATGCCGTCAGTCAAGCCTGACTCGGAAAAGTAATGCAACACACCGCCAGTTTGTCAGCAAATGCAACTGAAATTTGTTTCGCCTTGTTTTGTTTTTTGACTGGGGCTCTGGGTAGTTTTCTGAAGATGCTGATCCCGATTGAATCAGAGAAACATGGTACAGCTGAGACAGGAGAGGCAGCCCACTGAGGCCGAAGCAGAAAATGTGCGGCTGCCTCAGAGACCCATTCTGAGCAAGCCAATTACTTTTGTCGGGTTGGTTTTCAGTAGAGGGTAAGCCCTGGCCAGTGCGGCTCGGTTGGTTAGGCAACGTCCTGTGCCCCGAAAGGCTGCCCGTCTGATTCCGGTCAGGGCCCATGCCCAGGATGTAGGCTCCATGCCCACTGGGGGCCTTGCAATGTTTCACTCTCACATCTCGTTTCTCTTCCTCCCTTTCCGTTCCTCTCTCTCTCAAAGTCCTTAAAAAAAAAAAAAAAAAAAAAAACAGGACAAGCCCTGGCCGGGTAGCTCAGTTGGTTGGAGCACTGTCCTGATATACCAGGGCTGTGGGTTCAATCCCTGGTCAGGACATATACAAAACTCAACCAATGAGTGTATAAGTAAGTGGAACAACAAAGCAATGTATCTCTTTCTCTGTCTCTCTCGCTCCACCTCTCAACTCGATAAGTAAAAAATGTAAAGAGGATAAGGGCATGGGTAATAAGTCCTCCAGTTTCCAGGCTTTACCCCACTGGTGACGAGGAGCGACATCTGTTCCTGCCCCCGCTGCTAATAACAACAATCCCCTGGGCCCCCAGCTGCCAGGCCCCCGTTGTCTAAGAACCTCACCCAAAGGCCACGCCTGACTAGAGGTGAGACTGTCATGCGCTCCTCAGCAAGCTTGTGGCCAAAGGGGACCTCCTGGGACCACCGCCCACAGCTGGCAGCCTTACCAAGCTGCGATCTGCGGGCTCCTCGGAAACAGGTTTCTGAGGAAGGGTGTGCCCACGGCCCAGGCTCCTATGGACCCAAGGAGCGAAACTGTGAGTCAGCACTCACGCTTGTGCTTGGTTCCTCAGAGCTGACCCATCTCTAACGCAAACCAAGGCATTTCACTAACAGCTCCGCCTCCCCTAAGCATCAAATGCCGAGGATAAGACGAGTGAGAACTGACCTCTGCCCTCAACAAGTGCACACACACAAAATACCTGGAACGCTGGGCAATCAGGCAGTGATCTAGAGTCTGCAAAGGTGACTTCTCGACTCGTCATTACGTTTAGTCCTCAAAACCTTAATGTCAGCACTGTCCTTCCAGAGACGGCGATGAAGCTGGCCCTGGTTAAGGAAGTGGGACTTGAGCCTCAGTTTACCTGGCCGCTCACACTCTTGACTACAACACAACCTGCCTGTCCGGGCTGGCCACATCCTCCCCAGGCGCTGGCTCCTCCTCCTCAGCTTTCACACTGCCTCTGCTGAGCTGTCACCTCACTGCACCGCGCTGAGCCAGCACTGCGGGCCCAGGAGGAACAAGCACCGGCGGGGCCTGCCCAGAGCGCCCGGAGCCACACATGATAAAGACAGGGCAGCACGCTCTGCTCACGCTGCTCGGGAAGGCCAGGCTGATGGGAACAGCAGCATGGCAGAGCTGCAGTCAGAGGGCAGCTGAGACTTGAAAATCGGCAGAAATGAGGACAGGCCAAACGACCCACACTCTCCAGCTGCCCTCCTCATGTCTCTTCCTGGGGGGCCTGTGCTCCTGGATGAGCCTCCCACTCCAGACGCTGATGGCCCCAAACGTCTCTTACCCCAGTGCACTGGGGTAATCCACTGTTCCCCACTCCAATGCGATGGAGAAGCAGCCTGTTCTGACAGTAAACTGTCAATAAAAGTCTACTGAAGAATGAATAAACAAAAGCATAAAAAGAGGCAAATAATTTTTGATCCTGGTGCTATTCTTCAATCCTAAACAGTTAAGAGAGAAACAACTGCAGTACCTGAGTATATGATGAGTGCCAGGTATTACAGAACCTCTGTAGACCCTCCCTTAGCTGCTTTCTGAAATACACTCCGGCCCAGGGTCGCCAACCTTCCGGACCTTACGGACCCCCAGTTGGTAACCACTGCTGTAGTCTCACCAAGAGGGGAGGGGCATTCTCAAAGCCAGACTCCAAATCTGAAGCCTTAGCGCCGAGGACAGGGACTAGGGACTCAGCGACACTAGCACTGTCCAGGTCCAGGAAGCTGGAAATCAGAACAGGACCTGTTTCTTAGAACTGACTCCTGGGCTGTGGCTCCCTGCTCCTGGGCTCCCTTCCAGCGGCAGGACCAGCAGGCTCACTCCTCTGAGCATGACCAGCTCGCCTCAACGTGACCCACTGGACACTGGCTCTGGCAATTCCTGCAACAGCTGCTCCACCAATACACCACGCGGCCAGCCTCTGAAGCCAGCAGGCAGACAGACAGCACGAGGGAACTGAGCCTGTCTGCGCTCCAGGTGCAGCCCAGCCTGCGCTGAGGGACTGCTATTCGCCAGCACGCAAACCAGTTCTCAGCCCCCGCAAGTGCTCATCTCACAGGGGCTAAGCATTTATCATCCACAAAACATACGTCTAACTCCAACACGCCAATGTGTAATCTGCCGGAGGCTCTCCTGTCCCACGCCCACAGGCCTATGTCTTTGCCCTGATAACAACCCTGTAAGTATGCCCACCCCCTTGCCAGACAAGGCCGACGAAGCCCCTCAAGGGTGAGCGACGGGCCTGGGCCACACAGCTGCACACGCGGTGACCAGTTCAGTGATCTTGATGCCAACTTCGTTTCTGTCCACGTTTATTAATTCGCGGAAGATACAATTCACCCGAGTGTACAACTCAATGGGGTTTAGTATGTTCCCAGAGTTGTAAAGCCATGACCACAATCCATTTTAGAATCTTTCATGCCTAAGAGGAGCCCTATACCCGCCCTGGGCGGTGGCTCAGTTGGTTGGAGCATCATCCTGTACACCAAAGGTTGCAGGTTCGATTCCAGTCCTGTGCCTACAGGAGACAACCCAATCAATGTCTGTCTGTCTGTCTGTCTGTCTCTCTCTCTCTGTCTTTCTCTCTCTCTCAAACAACAACAAATGAAACCCTGTACCCATTAGCATTCATCCCCTCATTCTCCTTATCCGCCCCCACCCCCACCCCAGCCCTAGGCAACTGCCAATCATAAACTCGGTTCTGGCTATAAACCACACCCCGGCGTGTCCTTCCGGTGGTAACAGGCTGCAGCAGAGGAGCAGGCAGCACCTGAGCCATACTTACTTGCACGTCCATTGTTCACATTTGGACTGCTTTTCCCCTTACCTCAGAGTCTCTCTTTTTTAAGGAAGGAACTGCTCACTAAGACCCAAACGGCCACGGGACACCACTGTTCTGACAGCTCAGCACTTACTGAGGGCAGTGAAAGTATTACTCACTCCAGCTCCTCAGCGAGGATCGCTCTTACCGCATTGCCTGGCCTGGAACAATCCAAACGCTCTGTCACACTCCTGCTGGTCAGCCACTCCAGCTGCGGGAACTGTGAAGGCCCAAATGCAGTGAGCCTCTGAACACAGATCTCTGCACCAGACAGCCAGCCGGCCCGATCCCAGCTCGGAGGCCGCTCACCGACGGCCTGGGAGCGGGCTGAGGAGGCAAACGGCCGCGGGACACCACAGGCAACCGGGGGTAAGCATCCAGGCCAAGTCCCCGCTTAACAAACTACCAGCCTGCTGCAGCGAAAGGGAGTATTTTAGGGCCAAGCACCTCATGCCAAGCTGACTCTGGGGTCGTCAGCACTCACAGGAGGCCTAATGCAGCTCTGAAGCCCAGCCTCCGAGTCACGGAGGTGGCCCCTCAGGAGACCTGAGAGATGCTCTCCTCGCCC